AATATCTATCCAGGGCTCAGTAAATTATAAAAGAGAAATAAACCACACCCATCAAAGAAAGAATCTAAAAAATTACCGGACTCGAAATGGACTCGGGACTTGGACTCGGTCCTTAATGTCAAGGACTTGGACTCGGACTCGCCTCGGACTTGGTACTCCTCGGACTCGCCCATGCCTGCTAGGTGGCGATTATAGAGATTAAACAGGATGAGAGTCCAAACTTTGAAATACCTGCCACGTTTTTTAGGTGAGCACCTAACTTTTATCAGATTTTTTTCCAAAAAAACTCAGGCTACAAAAAAGTTTTTGTAGAAAATATGGAGTTTAGACTATTCTATTTTTTCTATGCTGGAAATTTTATCTCATTTGTCAAGAGAAAACATCTCTAAATGATATCTCACTACGTATCCGGCGAGATATTGAAAATGATTAGTATATTTAATGTATTCACAAACCTCATTTGTACGATTTCAAACTCATGCGAAAAAAGTGAATTTTTTCAACAATATCAAACTAACTCTCAAAATATTAAGGTACTGTATTCACGTTCTACGCGAAATAAATCTATGGGAAAGCATAATTCAAAAACTAATTAAACATCTTATATGTTTTCTAATTTATCTATCAGTCAATAAAATGAACCGTGACACGGCATTTCCGCGAACGACGTTACCGCGAATTTTCATAGTACATATTGGGCTATTTTTGGCAGTGCGTGGTGGGCGGTGGGCAGCGTGAGAGTGAGTTCGAAAAGTAGTTTCCCACAGAACACATTTTTTTGATGTGCTATGAATCTCTTTTAGCTTTTTAAGTGCCTATCTGTTATCTAACTTCTGTCGTTTTCAATGAATAAGAGAGTCTGAAGGAGTTTGCTTGTCTGATTTAACTAAAGAACCGGGGATTAACGACTAGTAGAAGTCAAGAGAAAATTAAGTGATAACATTTGCCAAAAGATTTGAAGAGTTGTAGTAGCGAAACCCGTAGAAATTCAATATCACACGGAAACTCTGACAAATGACTCCTGTTTGTCAGACTCCTATTCTATTAAAGACACTTGAATCTATCCACTCATGTAAAGTTAGAAATATTTTTCCATTATAAATTATGAAGTCTATCAATCCAATTCTTCCAAAGATCCTTGCACATCTACTTCGAAAATATTCCTAAGCTTATTTTATTACAAATGATGTGTGAAAGTCTACGCTCTCAATTGCTACAATCTGTCTTTTTAGTTCTCTGATTGTTTATTTAAAATGTACTCGAGATTACCCTTTTAGTATTTTTACTGTAGTCAATAAAACAATATAATATATACAACAGTTTCTGTTGACGATACAGAGATGGAGAAGTAAAAAACGATGCATGTGTTATTTTCCGAATCCGATGTGAAGCCGATAGTGTTTGAGGAGAAAGCGCGTGCCTTCTTCATCTTGATCAAACTCAAAGATTTTCTCAGTTAAGCATTTCAAGTGATGGTGGTGAGTACATTATTAATTTACAGAAAGCTCTCTTAGTGTGCTTTTCTTACGTAGATAAAATCGGCATCATGATTTTTTAATCTAGAAATACATCTTCAATTAAGCGCTTACAGTAAGCGATGTGCCTCATATGATAGAAACTATAGTAAAAATATCTGAGATCTGAACAGATAGCCTGTGATGCAGATTTCGTTGTCTCAATTTCTTAATATCAGATGTTTTGAAGTATTTCGAAGGTACATACGTAAAGCGGTACACTTTGTTACATCCTTTATAACTTATTCCTTTCAGGAACGTATGAGGGTAGAACTTCCTGGAATAAAGCAAACATAAAGTTGCTGCTCTAATTCAAACTTCTCTTTATATGACAACTTACAGCTACGGCGTAATCATGGCTGCTCCTTCGTTTGCTGTAATCTTCACCATTTTTTGTGTTTTACAGAGATTTCTTTCGTGTGCTTTTTCACTCTCATGTTCTTAGCTTTGACAAACTATTTCTTTTAAACCTTTGGTAACGAATCGCTGGCTGACCGAACATGTTCGGTAGCGATTCGGTAGAACACACATTCGCTCACATTGTACACTAGTTAGTCTGTTTTCTCACTGGTTAGTTCCTTCAAAAACTTCAATTTCATCCCATTTGTCTTTAGTTCAGACTAGGCATTCAACAATCCCAAGCTGGGGCTCGCTTGTTGGCACCGCTTATGTTCGATCGCGAACCATTCGGTGCCGGTCAGCAAGCCCTAACTCAATAGTTTAACTTTTGATGTAATGTCGTTTTCAATAGAAATATAAGCTTGTTGCGGCTCGCAAAAGGATCTAATAAGTTAATTTGTGGCTTATGATTTTTTCTAAAATTCTTACAAATGAAGACATTAAACTAATCGAGCGGAAGTTTTTGGCTATGTATGAAAAATTTCGTGTTCTCTTTTGAATACTAACATCTTTATAACTCTCCATGTCTGCGGATAATACGCTGTTGTTACTACGGCATTAAATAATTTCAAGAGGATAGAATGACGTAAATCATTCACTTGTTGCAGCATTATTATTTATATTTCTAAGAAATCAGCCGCTTTTTTAGGTGACATTTGTTTTAGAATATTATTCATTTCTACACCAGCGATAAATTCATCTATTTTTACATTGGTATTTAAATCTTGATCACTGTTGTTATCCGTGTCATCAATAAGATAATTATCGGAGCAAAATTCACCTATAAATTCCTGAGCTATCTCATGTTTTTCCACAAGGTTTTTGTTATTATTACCAATTAAACAAGAGATTGGTTGTTGAGGTTTTCTCGACATTTTTTTCTGTATCGTTCGTAGTTTCATTGATTTACTAATTTTAGACCAATAACCTTGTTTTACTGTTTCAATATCAGGTTTAAACAGTTTTTGTTCTTCTAAATATCTGTTGTAATTCTGTGGAGATCGATTTTCTTTATATCATCTTTTAAGTTTTCTGACTAGTTTTCGTGTTGTAGTTAATTTACTAAGATGTCACGAACTTGTTTTGCAACTTTATCAATCTCACCTTTATTTCTGATTAATGCTGCCTCTAAACCTGTTGCTCTAATTGCATCATGAATATTTCGCGTGAATTTAGTCCAATCTGCCCTTGAATAGTTCCATCTACACATGCTTTGAAATGGTTGAAAAGTTGATTTTTTCCACTCTAAGTCATGCAGATTAATTTCAATGAGTTCATGGTCTGTCTGATTTAATTGGTGTTTTACTAAAGGCTATTTTGGACTAAACAATAGTAGTTCTTCAGTATGAAGCGTTAAATCTATAATACTGTTAGATCCTTGTGAATCAAAATAGGTAGGCACTCCAAATTCATTGGCTATTTCCAGATCATATTCAATTATTTTCTCATATAATTTTTTGCCGACAGTATTGTTTACGTGATCCCCCGAATGTTGATGTCTTGCATTTACATTCTCTATAAGAATAATCTGATCGGTATGTTTCTTTATTTTCTTGTACATTTTGTCAATAACTTTTATGACATTTGGCAACCGGGACGATTACAGACAGCAATACAACAGACTATTTTCGGTTTTGTGTGGGCAAACAAAATTATAATATCATTTTGATCTGTTTCACATTCAAATGCTCTCGTTATGTTCAATGATTTTTTAGAGCAGACTAATACTCATCCATGTCCTTTTTTTATCATGCACAAATGCTCATTTTTAACAGCTGTTGCTGCATCATCATGGTATTCAGATACAAGAAGAAAATCCTAATAATGTTTATTGACAATGAGTTCAATAATTCGGTACTGAACAGGATACGTCTTCTTGCATTCGCTGATAGTATATTTAATTGCTATTATTGTGATCGATAGCGGTACTAGTCATTGGGTCTTTCATTTAATTTTTCTGCGATTTCAATGTACTTCTCAGGATATTGTGAATTCGCCGCATGATTCGAGTTGATAATTCTTTTTGACAAAAGACTTTTGAATAGCTTTTTATGTGTTGCTCATATAAACTTTTATCAGAAGAATAAACTTAAATCGATACCATATTGCAACATCGTTGAATATCAGAAAATAAAAAATGTGTCCGATAAGATGAAAAATATTTTTTCGATAATAACAGATTCCAAATAAGCGATACAATCAGATAAATCTATAAATATTTTCAAATCGAATATTTAATCGTAGTTATCAGTTTCATTTGAATCATTAGTTATCCAAATTACAGCAAAATCTTCGAAATTTCTTCCTCTTTTCTCAATACAGAAACTTCACTTTAACATTTTCGCAATGATTTTAGCATTATCGAATGATCCTTCCGTTAGAAAGGTTTGTATATACCATCATCTGTTTCTCCTTTTAAATCGCTTAATCGAACACGTTGATTTAAGGCCCTCCCCCCCTCAGAAATTATATCCGACACCGTACATCCGATCTTGACGAAACTTTCCGTAAATGTTCAGCACAATGAGTTACAGGAATGAAAAGATTTTTTTGTCTCCAAGTCTTACGGTTTAGGAGTTTTCCAGAGATCAAGGTCCAAAAAGGACCCTGAATGGCGTCCCAAGATTTTTTAATATACTTCAAGCTGGAGAGTTCGGATTTGTTTTATTTTAAACTAGACACCTAAATACATCGACTGACCGGCGCCGATTTTTCAATTAAGCCTTTATTCGTTTTCCAGGCAATCAACAACTTGCGAAACCCGAAAAAGCCTTCCGGATTTTCTAAAAATCCTCAGTTTGACAAAAAACTAAGACCTAATTCAAAAATCGGCGCCGGTCAATCGATGTAGTTTCTTTTCCTCTTTTAAACAAAAAAAGAATGAACTCTCTACGACGAACCGCTATTAAAAATCTTGGGACGCACTTCAGGTGTAACTCTTATATAGCGAAAACGCTGTATGAAATAGGCGATTTTATGACTTCTAGGTAAATGTCTGTTACTTTTCGCTGCAAGGTCATACAGAGGTGTGTAAGGTCTTATTTTGATCACAAACGTTTGCTCTACAAAACTGTGTTTTCAGAAAAATTTTAGTTGCATAAGTATCTAGGAAAAAACCATTATTTGAAGACCCGTTTTTTCGAGGCTCTTAGAAAACTTGCTCAAAATCCCGGAAAAAACACTTTTGTAACCAAAAGCAATACAGATTCTGGAAGTAGACACTTCAGGCTATCTTTTCATGTGCGTATCTCAAAACCGATTTTTTGACCGAAAATCACCATTTCTGAGGGGGGCTTAAGTAAAACG